GTAATCCATTATTCGTACTTTGGAAACGTATATTCATTAAATAAAAGTTAAAAAAAAAACTTTGTTTTATACCTTTGGGAAACCAATGGTTAAGATTGTTACACTACTACAGTTTTCATAATCTGTGATTACTTTAAAATGTAGTGTATATGGGTGAAAATGTCATTTTCCCATTCAGTTATTGTTTATAGCCATTGACTATGTTTCTGGTAAACTATGGTCTTTTGCTTTTTACTTGTTAAACTTCTTATTTGAAGAAGGATTAAGCCTTTTTATTGTGATACAAACTTAAAATGTGTTATCTCCAAAGTTACAAAAAGAAACATAGAGGGAAGGAGGGTGGTTTAGAGAGGGAGATGGAAGGAGGGAAGGAAGAAGGGAATATCATTATATTCTTAGAATTGCATCCATGAAGTATATTGAATCTTAAAAACTACTGAAAAGATTTTTTTAAAGGAAAGTTTTATTGTCAGGTGGAAGAAACCCAACAGTCTGGAGGGAGAGAGCAAAAGGAGGGTGAAAAGGGAGAGGGGTTGAAAGTGCATGTGTGGGGAATCAGGTCCTGTTATATAGCCTTACACGGAGCAGGGAAGTGGGAGCAACGTACTGAATTACGGTGGGGATACAGCTGCTGCTTATGGTTGGGCCAAGCTCAGCTGACTCCTAGTAAGCCAGGCTGGGTCCTAGAGAGGCTGAACCAATTGGCAACTGGCTAGAGCCCAAGATGGCAACCAGGGCTTGAGATGGCATTTTTAGATAAGACAGCACCATTTCACTAACATTCCCCCCTTTTGTTTTTTAATAAAGCAAGTGTTGTGTGGGATTACATTGGCCCCAAAAGCCCAGGAAGGGTGGAGGGACAATGATCTATCTTCTAGAGCTGCTTCCTGCTGACATGGGGCAATGAGTTACTCTCTGCTGGCCTCAGACCACCAGTGTCTCAAGATGTGAGCTCCTTGGTGGAGAGCTGAGTATATCACTGTAGCAGCATTTGATTGACCACCTCTTTGGTGAAGGCTTTGGTTTGTTCCATTATCACCTCCTGTAAACACTTAAACAGACAAAGTAGTATAAAAGCCAGGGTAAGAATAGCCCCTAATGGTCCTAGGAACGCATTAACCAAGTAATTTAACATTTTGTTATAGCTAGCTCAATTGATTAAAATAATAGCAACATTGTTCTCCCAGAAAGATACAAGTTTTTCCCTTTTTTAGCCCTTCTGTTTTGTAGTACCACGCCTTTTAGTGAGGTGATTTGGCTTTGGAGACCTCAGATGGCTCAGTGGAGGTCTCAATAGACCTAGTGACCTCCTCTTGTAACTGTTGGAGTTGTTGTGGAGTCAGTTGGCCGAGATAACATTGTGGCCTAAAGCTGTTCCTGAGATCACTACTGAGGAGAGGGAGGCTGTGAAGCTTATCCCAACCAAAACCAGGAGAAAGGCTGCTCATCTCTTGCAGGTAGTAGGATTTGTCTATAGAAAAATTCTGAATAATCATACAACATTAAGTGGGGGGAGAGGACACCAATGCACATGGGCCAGGAGTAAAGCCATTGATGTAAGAGTAGAGGGTATGATTACAAAGGAATGAGGCCCCAGGTAGGCTATACAGGGTCTAGAACAAAGGACAGAGTCATTATTAGAGAACCTAAGAAAGGTGCTTTCTAAACCTTGAGCAAGTTTTCCAATTGAGAGGCAAATAGAAATGGACAGAAGGGGCTTGATAATAATCAGGTGGCCTATTAGGCTTTGTCAGTTATGAGGCGGAGACCTATCTATCTCTTCACATGGGGTACATCATAAGGGAGGTGTGAACCTCCTTAGGGAAGGCACCCTGTTGACTTCCATTACCCAGCTGGCCTCAGAGGAGAGCTGGTCTAGGTGAAGGCAGGTGGAATCTCTAACAGGAAATTTACAGTTCTGCCTGCAATGTTACCCTTCTAGAAAGTCCCCTCTCAGCAGTGATGGTTATTTGGAAGCTGGGCAGAGTAAAGGGCTTTTCAGCTTAGAGCCAACAAGGTCTGCAGCTCTGACCTGAGAGTCCTTCGACCCCAGAACAGTTCTGTTTCCAGTGACCCAGCTCTCAGCTGGAAGAGATTCCAGGGCTCTTCATAAGCTGACTTCTGCTGAAGCCCTGGCTTTCCACCTCAAAAACAATGTAGTAGACTGGGCTGTTGGGTCTCCTTGATGGCAGATCACTGTGTAGAGCAGCCATTATTTGGCCCGCCATCTATCTTTACATTGCTTCTGCTGCCTAGCTTTCTTTCTCCTGGTTTTTGTTAAAGCAGACCAGAGGAAACCTTTAAGAGTATGCCAGTCAAGGGGTGCTCAGGTCCCATCTCTAATCTTTGGTGGCCTAAACTAGAAGTCTTTAGTCATAGGCATGTTCTGATAGTAGTTTTTCTGTGAGGTAGGGTAGACAATGCCCATGAGGAAAGCTATGTTCTCACTTTACCATCAAACATGATGATTACAAAAGATTTTATGGGGCCAGCGCTGTGGTGCAGTGGGTTAAAGTGCTGGCCTGAAGCGTAGGCATCCCATATGGGCACCGGTTCAAGATCCAGCTGCTCCTCTTCCAATTCAGCTCTCTGCTATGGCCTGGGAAAGCAGCAGAAGATGGCCCAAGTCCTTGGGCTCCTGCACCTGTGTGGGACACCTGGAAGAAGCTCCTGGCTCCTGGCTTCAGATCGGTGCAGCTCCAGCCATTGTGACCATCTGGGGAGTGAACCAGCAGATGGAAGACCTCTCCTTCTGTCTCTACCTCTCTCTGTAACTCTGTCTTTCAAATAAATAAAAATAAAAATAAATCTTAAAAAAAGATTTTTAATGAAGTTTTCTGAAGGTTACAGTGTATGAACCTTATAAATAGTTATAGTATGGAAACTTTTCAAAAATGCTACAATGTATAACCTATTATAATGACTTTTATCACTCAATCTAACTGATGAGTCCCACAAGTTGCTATGTATCAATACTAGATTGTTTTGTATTGCTGAATACTATTTCCTTCTTTCTTTTTTCTTTTTTTTTCTTTTTTGATGGGCAGAGTGGACAGTGAGAGAGAGAGACAGAGAGAGAAAGGTCTTCCTTTGCCATTGGTTCACCCTCCAATGGCCACTGCGGCCGGCGCACTGCGCCTATCCGAAGGCAGGAGCCAGGTGCTTCTCCTGTCTCCCATGGGGTGCAGGGCCCAAGCAGTTGGGCCGTCCTCCACTGCACTCCCTGGCCACAGCAGAGAGCTGGCCTGGAAGAGGGGCAACCGGGACAGAATCCGGTGCCCCGACCGGGACTAGAACCCGGTGTGCCAGCGCCGCAAGGCGGAGGATTAGCCTACTGAGCCACGGCACCGGCCATGAATACTATTTCATAATATGGATGAACTAGTTTGTCCAGCCACTCACTGAATTTTTGATGCACAATGATATACTAGGAAAAACCATAACTTTCCAATGAAGACCATATGCTATGATCTGGAATTCCCTCAATAGCATGATTGGTGCTTAAAGGCACAACTTCTGTCCAGTGGCTCTCCAATGTTACAGCCAATTAGATTTTCCAGAGATGCCATTAGGGAATATTCCACTGCTCATGTTGCATGCCGAAACAAATTAATCAGTGTGTTCTGTTGTCAGAGCAAGGCATCAATATTTGGGAAGATCCTCTCTAGTGTGCTTCAACATTACAAACTACTGGCTATCCACTGCCCAAACACCCATTGGCAATATATTTTTTTTAAAAAATATTTTTATCTATTTATTTGAGAGGTAGAGTTACAGACAGTGAGACGGAGAAACAGAGAGAAAGGTCTTCCTTCTGTTGGTTCATTCCCCAGTTGGCCGCAATGGCTGTAGCTGCGCTGATCCGAAGCCAGGAGCCAGGTGTTCTTCCCAGTCTCCCATGTGGCCATGGCGCTGGCCCCTGGCAATATCTTTTTTTAAAAAATAATTGTTATGCTATAGATCTTTTTTAAATATTTCTTTATTTATTTGATAGGCAGAGTTATAGAAAGACAGAGAATGAGAGAGAGAGAGAGAGAGAGAGAGAGGTCTTCCATCTGCTGGTTCACTCCTCAAATTAGCCACAACGGCAGGAGCTGGGCCAATCTGAAGCTGGGAACCAGAAGCTGCTTCTAGGTTTCCCGTGTGGGTGCAGGGGCCCAAGGACTTGGGGCATCTTCTACTGCTTCCCCAGGCCATAGCAGAGAGCTGGATTGGAAGCAGGGCAGCTGGATCGCAAACCAGTGCCCATATGGGATGCCGGCACTTCAGGCGATGGCTTTACCTGCTTAGTCATAGCACTTGCTCCATGGCAATATCTTAAGAGTATTAACAGTTGCTTTTGTTGCCTGCACATCCCTGAAGAATAGAAAATATTACCACTTCTAAAAAAATTAACAGTTGTGCTTGCTTTGGCAGCACATATATTAAAATTGGAAAAGTACCAACAGTTGAAACTACTGGGTGGATATTCAGAAGAGGGAAAGGTAAAATGATTTATTTATTTGAAAGGCAGAGTGACAGGGGTGGGGCAGAGAAAGAGATCTTCATCTGCTGGTTCACTCCCTAGATTGTTGCAATAGTAAGGGATGGACCAGGATGAAACCAGGAGCCATGAACTTCATCTGAATCTTGGACAAGAGTGGTAGGGGCCAAAGTACTTGAGTTATAGTATGCTGCCTTCTCAAGCACATTAGCCCAAAGCTGGATCAGATGTGGAGCATCCAGGAATTAAACAGCACTTCACTATGGGATGCTGGTGTAGCAAGCAGAGATTTAACATGCTGTACAATAATCCTGGATTAAACATATAAATGAAAAATAACCAAAAAAAGAGAAAAATAACCATATAAGTTTTGATAAAACTGTTCTTCCCACCATTTGTAATTGTTTGATCAGTCAAAATGTTATACAGATATGTTCCTCAAGAAGAAAGACAAGCAGAGAGACAGACAGATAAAGGGACTGATTTTTACTATCTCTTTCTCTTTATTTGTATGCAGTTCAAGTCTTCACTATACCCTGCTCAGTGGTGGTACCATGGAGAGTTGAAGAATGGGAGATGTGTAGTAAGTACCCTATGGAATAGACAGTCTCCTGTCTTGGCATGTTTCCTATACCCAGGAAGAGAGATAAGCACTGAGTTGAAGGGATCACACAGGTTAGAACTGAGAGTGTGGTGGTAGAAGTCATTGATCACTGAGTGGCTCCAAAGAACTTTGTACTTTGCTGCAAAGATCCGAGGTTCAGGATACTGCTTAGTGGGGGAGTCCTATTAAAGTAATATTGACAGATGAATTCCCCACCCAATAACAGAGTTCAGTTTTATTTTCATTGGTTAAAAATATAGATATGGGGCCGGCATTGTGGCATAGCAGGTAAAGCTGCTGCCTGTGACACCAGCATCCTATATGGGTGCCTGTTTGAGATCCAGCTGCCCTGCTTCTGAACTAGCTCCCTGCTAATGTGCCTGGGAAAGCAGTGGAAGATGGCCTAAGTGCCAAGGGCCCTGGCACTCATGTGGAGAATCTAGAAGAAGCTCCTGACTGGCTTAACCCCACTGCTGCAGCCATTTGGAGAGTAACCAAGAGATATAAGATCTCTCTGTGTATCTATCTCTGTCTGTCTATGTCTCTCCCTCTCTCTGTGTAACTGACTTTTAAATAAATAAATCTTTAAAAAAAAATCATGGGGCTGGCTTGTGGCGCAGTGGGTTAAAGCCCTAGGCTGTGGCACCAGTATTCCATATGGGCACCAGTTCAAGTCCTGGCTACTCCACTTCCGATCCAGGTCTCTGCTACTGCCTGAGAAAGCAGTAGAAGATGGCACAAGTTTTTGGGCCCCTGTACCCATATAGGAGACCTGGAAGAAGTTGATGGCTCCTGGCTTTGGATCAGCTTGGCTCGGACTGATGTGGTCATTTGGGGAGTGAACCAGCAAATGGAAGACCTCTCTCTCTCTCTCTCTCTCTGGCTCTACCTCTCTCTGTAACTCTCTCTCTCTAATATATAAAAGAAATCTTTAAAAGAAATCAATAAATTATGTTAATTGTCCAAAGACTGTGTTTATAAATTCATGCTTTTTATACACAGAAACATTCTCCTTGGATTCCACATTGAAACAAAACTTGGCTGAAAAAGAAGCCCAAAAGAAACTAAGTTTGAAAAACAATTGAGCTCATTTGGTCAAAAAATGCAAATGAAATAACTTGAATGTCCAATCTGATTGTTTGCAAATATATGTGCCAATAAGACACAGCATGTCCACTTTGAATCAAATAAAACTTACCAGCCCTGTGGTTTTAGTTATGGATTAAATTGACAAACTCCATGAACAAATTCGTTCTCCTTTGTTTGTACCTAGCATTCAGTGGTGTATAATTGAGTTATTAATTTGGCTAATGTGACATATCCTTAAAACTCCTCTTAAAGTGATTAGTATTAAAAGCAATTGATGTCATTTTATCAATAAATAAATGTCATTTTATCAATGAATAGGACTATATAATATATATATATATATGCTAAATTGGGCTAAAATACAGTAGACACAAATCACTGTCCTGGTCAGACTGATTCTCTGAGAAAAAATGATAATGCAAACACCTAGGACGATCTTAAACATTTTTAATAATCAACGTGTGAGTCAGTTGGGCATCAGTGAAGATATAATCCAGATTACAAAGGAAGATTATACATGGAGTCAATGATTACTGTTATCATTAACAGAAAATTTTCTTAGCTTTCCCAACACAGTTAAATAGACAGCAAACTATACTGATGGCTCCCAGAAAGAATGCCCGGCGTTTGGGATGCTGTAGAGTCCTCACTAACGACCGCTTGTCAGAAAGCGTTGCCTTCAGGTCCTGGGGCAAGTTGGGAATGAAATCCGACAAGGCATGCAAGGCTTCTGCATCTTTGTGGGCAGAGGTTCGCAGAAGTGCTGTTAGGTAAAGCAGTGGAGGAGGAGCGTGAAAAAAGACTCGTGTCAAGGAAAGTCGGGCAGTCATACTAGTTTTCCTGCTGAAAACGCAAAGGTTTCCCTCAATCCAATGAGACCTCAAGCAGGGCTGCAGTGCGCCCCGGCCTCCCAAGGTTCTTCTGGGCAGTCTCCCCTCCTCGCAGGCTTCCCTGTGCCACCCACCTGATGGCTCTGACTGACAAGTCAGTCAGGGCCTGAGCTATTCCCGCAACTTTCCCTCCCTCTCATGAGATTCCCAGCAGGACCCTTTCAACCAAAGCAAGTCTCGAAGGAAAAACTTAAACTCTGCGCGGTGGAGTGGGGTCTGAGCCCCTGTAGCAATGAGGGCTCGAGGGGGTCCTGGGGGCCGACTAGGCAAATAAATGGTCGACAGCTGGAGCGCAACCAATGGGAAGCACGAACCACTTGGGGTGGAGGAGGAGGAGCTCTCACCTGACTGTGGCCCATATTGCAGTGCGAACTCCTCCTGGAAGTCTGCATTCCTCCTCCTGACTTTCCCACAAGTCTTATCAATGAGGTTGACAACTTTGCTCTTACATAAGATTCTTTGAGAAGAGCTCTTCAGTGAGCTAGCAGTGGTCTCTCCGGGGAACTGGCTCAGCAGCAGCCAGACTCCCAGCAGGTAAGGCAAAAACAGGCGCGACATGCTGGGCGGGACTCTCCTGCTCTGACCTGGTCAGCTTTCTCTGGGACTGCCTCTGCTGCTGCCTACTGACCTGGGTCTGTGCCTGCCCAGAGCTTCAGGCTGCTTTCTCTGCCTGGCTCAGCCAGGTGTTTATATCCCTTGGGCTATCACTGAGCTCTTGAGTCACTGCCCTAGCCCCACCCTTTCCCCCACCCCTGGCCCCACCCCCTCCACAGAATTTCTTCCTCAGCTCTTGTTCACCCTCTTTCCTTCTCTCCTACATCCAGGTCCCTCCAAGCCTCCCACTGATGTGCTCTTTGTCTGTTTTAACATGGAGTTGCCTTCTTGCCTTCCCATTTCTTTCCTTCTATGCCATGATTTTTTTTGCTTACTGAAATACTTGCGGCTGTTTTGGTGTGTGTTTTAAGATCTGAAAAGCACGGTGTTGACTTTGGAGGAAATACAGGTAGTTGAACAACAACAAAAGAGATAAATCCGAGTTTTAAACTCACCACCAGTGTATCTGTTAAGTTTTGCTGCAAGCACTTGCATTTTCCTCTCTCCTCACACTTACTTATATTTGTTCTTAAAATCATTAACAGATTATCATTAGATTTTTTTTATTATTATTATTTTTTTTTTATTTTTGATAGGCAGAGTGGACAGTGAGAGAGAGAGACAGAGAGAGAAAGGTCTTCCTTTGCCGTTGGTTCACCCTCCAATGGCTGCAGCCGGCGCACCGCGCTGATCCGATGGCAGGAGCCAGGATCCAGGTGCTTTTCCTGGTCTCCCATGGGGTGCAGGGCCCAAGCACCTGGGCCATCCTCCACTGCACTCCCTGGCCATAGCAGAGAGCTGGCCTGGAAGAGGGGCAACCGGGACAGAATCCGGCGCCCCGACCGGGACTAGAACCCGGTATGCCGGCGCCGCAAGGTGGAGGATTAGCCTATTGAGCCACGGCGCCAGCTATATCATTAGATTTTGAAAGTGCCTAGAGTACCCTTGCATAGTTTTATGAATGGTACATGAATTAATTGTTCACAAAGAAAAGAAAACTTATGATGTTGAAATCAATTCTTGTGAAAAGCTGAAAATTTACAAAACATCTCCTAACATAATGTTGGAAATTTTCACACACTTTCCCATTCACCCTTGGAAAAGGTTGGAACCTTGAGCTTAGAAGGGATCCAGAAGTTGTGTACTTAATCTGATCTCCAGAGTTTCTGACTAGGATGAGAATACAGGATCCTCCAGAGTTGCCTCTCAGGGTGTAATGCTTGTGGAAACAAAGAATTGAGGTCTTTAATAAGTATTGGGAGGGGTCACTGCCGTGGCACACTAGGTTAATCCTCCACCTGTGGCGCCAGCATCCCATATGGGCACCAGTTCTAGTCCTGGCTGCTCCTCTTCCAATCCAGCTCTCTGCTGTGGCCTGGGAAAGCAGTAGAAGATGGCCCAAGTACTTGTGCCCCTGCACTCACACTGGAGACCAGGAAGAAACTCCTGGCTCCTGGCTTTGGGTCGGCGCAGCTCCGGCCGTTGTCGCCATTCGGAGAGTGAACCAATGGAAGGAACACCTTTCTCTCTGTCTCTCCATCTCACTGTCTGTAACGCCGTCAAATAAATAAATAAAAATCTAAAAAAATAAGTATTGGGAAGTCATATTCTATCACTGTCTACTAATCTCTTCTCTGGCTAATTGTTGTGTGTTATATGAATTTGAGTTAGATAGTTTTCTTTAAGACAGAACATACACACATAAACTTCCAGACACACACACACATACATACACACACAAACAAAGAAAAAATAGTAGAATCCTACAATCCAGAAACACTTTTTTGAAATGTTCTTAAAAATTCAATTTAAGTATGATCAGTTTTCTGTGTTCATATGTGTTTGATGACTAAGAGAACAGAAATTATTGTCATTTCAAAAGTATTAGGTAAATGAGTTCCCCTTTCTAAGCAAAGATCGGTTTACATAACTATCATATAATACACAGACCTTTTACATGCAAACAACCACAAATTTATTAAACCTTATTTGTTGTGTTTGAAATCTGTAGACTCTGAGTATGTTAGGGCAGTTTTGAAAAACAGGTAAATACCATTAGTTCCAAATAAAAGGAATAATTATTTTTGTGCAGTTTTGAAGAAGGCTTTGTTATCATTCATCCAGTACTGGGTATCCAGTAAATTCTTCAGATAGTATCTGGAGAGAAGAGAATGCTTGGAGTCAGTGATTCTGGAATACCTCAGAGTGAAAGATAGGTAAAGCCCTAGGGAATAAATGCCAAACTATAGCCAAGTTGTCCTTGTCCACAGAGAGAGAGGGAGAAAAACACTGAGTTTATGGCTCTCTGTGGGTGAAGTTTTCAGGTACTAAAACGTCTAGTTTAAATGCACAGTTTAGTGTTAAAGCCCCATTAAACTCTCTAGGTGAAATTTTCATACAGAGGTAGAAGTTGGATATTGGTCAATATACTGAAATAAAAATGTCAGATATTGCTTCCTAATTCATACTTGGCACACAGAAAAACAATCTCTTAGAACTGAAGTGGGCTGGCACCACGGCTCATTAGACTAATCCTCTGCCTGCAGCACCAGTACCCTAGGTTCTAGTCCTGGTTGGGGTGCCAGTTCTGTCCTAGTTGCTCCTCTTCCAGTCCAGCTCTCTGCTGTGGTCAGGGAGTGCAGTGGAGGATGGCCCAAGTACTTGGGCCCTGCACCTGCTTGGGAGACCAGGAAGAAGCAGCTGGCTCCTGGCTTTGGATCAGCTCAGTGCACTGGCCATAGTGGCCATTTGGGGGTGAACCAACAGAAAGAAGACCTTTCTCTCTGTCTCTCTCTCTCTTGCTGTCTAACTCTGCCTGTCAAAAAAAAAAAAAAAAAAAAGAACTGAAGTGGAGCCCCTTACCCCTAAGGACTTTGATGTTCACCTTATGCAGCCCCAATATCTTCCTTAGCTTGCAGTCCTCTGCAAAGATGAACTCATTGAGAAAAAGGAGTGACATAGTAATTAGAGACCCTGAATTATAATGACTTCAATTGCCATGCTAGTTAACATAGTTGCCATCTCAGTGCTGGCATCTGTTCTGAGAGCTTTGGAAGAACTCACAGAATCTGATGAAAGAAAGTAATACCCCATCTACCCTTAAACCCAGACAGACTGGAGTCTGCCTTTCCCATTCAAAAAGAAACAGGCTACTCCTATCACTGGCCAAAGGAAGACCATACACTCTGTTGACCAACCAGAGGCCCACACATATGCTGTTCATGCACTGCTCATCACCAACTTTGAATTGTTAAATTTCACAGCCTTTAATCTTGCTGGGAGTCTGGGTACTGGGTATTGGCTCCCTGACTCCTTTCTATGTGCTTTGCATTAAACCTGTTTTTTCCTACCACTTTGGTGTCTGTGAAAGCCCTGCTGTGCATTCTGTGAGAGTGCCAGTTGGGTATTCTGTAGCAGCTCTAACAAGTTATAGGGACGTTTGATAGCAGAACTATTCATTCAGATCACTTAAAAATGTATTTAATCCTTGAGGAGCATGCAAGAAGCTTAACTTGACAAATAATTGAGTTCATCTGGGCACAAACAATTAGGTGTTTATCCTGAGTTTTTGCAAAGCTTATTTGAATAGGACCAAAAAATGCAATTTGATCAGCTAGATAATTGCACAGTTCTTGACTTTGTGTTTGGAGGATCTAAACTGACAGGATTGATTAAAAACATGAAGATCATAATTGTATATACATGAAGTTAAGCAATATACCAAGTAAGCATTATGTTGGTTAATGAGATAAAGACTTTATAATCATTACTAAGTTTGGAAGATTAAAAAGCAATTCATGTATATATACCATTAATAAAAGGAAATAAGATTTCACTAGTAGAAAAGGATTATTGAATCATACTACAGTCAGTGGATAACTATTCTCATCATAATGCATCTTATTAAGTTATATATATTTATATAAAATGCTAATACAGTGATCGAAATGCTGACCAACAATGTAAGAAAATAAGTTTTCAATCATGTGTTCAATCCCTTAAGGTGGGAATGAATGTACTTACTATGTACAATGAATGACTTCACATAGGGTTCACTTGTATGTAGCATGTGCATATAGCTTATAAACTGCACTTGTTTATAACACATTGCTTATAAGAAACATATACTGCTCATATTTAATATTAAAGAACAATTGGTGACTCTTTAATTTTTCAGAATTTAATGTAACCTATTTAAACTGAATAGAGCTCTTTTGAGACTACTCTTGTAGTTTTACCTTAGCCTGTAAGTGATCTTTATAAATGCCTCCATGATTTCTGGAATTGAACTGTGCTCAATTATGAAATCTTGTTTCTGAAGAAAATCCATTGCAGCTTCAAGTGCTTATGATGGATAATTGGATTATCAGCTATGACTACCAGAAAGGCATGCTGCTCTCTTGGATTACCACCAACTTTCTCTTTACTCACCCAGATACTTTTATTTCTCTTCCATCCCTCCATAAATGGAGCTTTAAGACCCAGTTCAGAGAGGTGAGAGGCAAGGACCCTCTTCAAATGCAAAGACCTTCCTCATGTCATAGGCCATAGTCCAGCTTTTTGACAAGAAAGGGAGTCTTTAATTGCAAGTGCCAACTTGTTCTCTTTCCATGACACAGACTGAGGTCTCAAAATGTTGCCCCCATACTCTCTGGCACATAAACAGGCTTGATAACCAGCTCACCACCTCACTGTTTGCCTCCTTTTCTTTCAATTGGAGAGGACCTCTTAAGTCCTGGGTTGCCAGCATGCCTGCTGTATACCCCATCCTGCTGTACGCTTTGACGTGGGAACATGCTCTATCTCCTGTGGATTGGGTGTGTCACCTTGTATTAGTTAGCTTTCCTTCACTCTAACAGAATACCTCAGCAAAGTAACTTTACAAAAACACATTTGAAGTTTTGCTTTGGGCAGCTACATTGTCTTGGCCCCTGATGAGAGTGGTGGATAAGGAATGTCTGTGGTGGAATGTGTGTGCAGATAGGATCAAATGGTGAGCCAGAAGCAAGGAGAAGTCTGGGCCTAACTCAGCCTTTTGTTCTCTTCCTCTGTAGAGAACTCCTTTCCAAGGGAGTGCCCTCATTGACCAAAGGACCTCCCATTAGGCCTACCTCCTAAAGATCACAACTGGATTAAGTTTTCACCCTCTTGATACCATTCACTTAAGACTTTAGGATGTTAGGTCCAGCAAGATTTCAGAAGCCATATCCTGTTTGATTTATAGCTTCTCCCCACAACTCCTCAAAATTCATGGCCTTTTCACATACAACATGCAATCTTCCATATTCAACAGTTCCAAAGTATTTACTCAGTCTAGCATTAGTTGAAAAGTGCAAAGTCTGCCGGTGTCACGGCTCACTAGGCTAATCCTCTGCCTGCGGTGCCGGCACTCTGGGTTCTAGTCCTGGTTGGGGTGCCAGTTCTGTTCTGGTTGCTCCTCTTCCAGTCCAGCTCTCTGCTATGGCCCAGGAAGGCAGTGGAGGATGGCCTAAGTGCTTGGGCCCTGCATCCGCATGGGAGACCAGGAGGAAGCAGCTGGCTCCTGGCTTCGGATCGGCACAGTGCACTGGCCATAGCGGCCATTTGACGGGTGAACCAATGGAAGGAAGACATTTCTCCCTGTCTCTCTTTCTCTCACCGTCTAACTCTGCCTTTCAAAAAAAGAAAAAAGTACGAAGTCTAATCTGAGACCTAACACAAAGTCTTCTATCTGTGGTTTAGTAACACTTCACATCACTTACTTCCAAGATATAATCCAGGACAGGTACAGCATATATTTTTCCATCGCAAAAGTAGGAGATGGAGAATTAGAAAGGAAGAATGATGAGACAAAAGAAAACAGAGCTAAAATTGGCATCGAGGGCATACTGTTGGATGAGTTCCCAAGATCTTGGACAGTCCTGCCCCCACAGTTTCTTGGTCATAGCCCTACCTCAGTTCTCACAGGATGGAATCTCTTTTCTGCATCTCCAGTATATAGTTGCCTAATGCATATTCTCAGTTGCAGCTTTCACCCAAAGTTTACTCTTGAAGTTACTGTAATGAAACTCTCTAAGGTGTCTATCTGCCTGCAATTGGTCTCTTCCTGATTTTCCAGGTCTCTTCCTGATTTCCCAGGTTTCCCAAAACATCCTTTTTATCCTGCTGGAGGCCTCCAGGCCTCTACTCTTCTCTCAGGCTGTTCACTGACATTAGTAGCTTTCCAAGGCTTGTGTAACACATTGCTTGTATTTTCCTCTGTGGGCACTACCCATTGCTGTTTTCTATATGTCTCTGGGGTCTTCCTTTTGACTTTATTGCCTGAACTCCACTGAACATCATCTCGTCATTGTGCTTCACGTGGGGCTGCAATTCTGAAGCACATCTCTGCCTGGCCTCTCAGGCTTTCCTTTGAAATTTCAGGGAAGCTACCATGACCCCATAACTCTTGCATCTTTCATGCTTGCAAAAATAAAAATCATGTGGACAATTCCAAGTTCTGTTGCCAACAGGAGTCTCACTTCTGTGCTCTTGAAGTTAGGGATATGAATCCTTAGGCAGTCTTGGGCAAGGCTGTGAAGTTCATCTAACAAATCAGCCCATTCATGCCTCTGGATCACTGATTGGAAGGGCAGCATCCAAGATTTCTGACATGGCTTCCAGTCCTTTTTACCATTGTCTTGGCTGCCAACCTGTGACTCTGTTTTACTGATGTGACCTCTTACTACACTTACTACACTTTCCTGTCCCATTCTTTTTTTTCCACTTGTTTTCTGCCAGCCTGCCTGCATATTTTAGAGAGCTTTCCATTGTGTTCCCTTTTGCCCTGGATTCTCACTGTTTAACTTAGTAATAATCAATCACTACCGTGCCACAGCTTAAGCAGTTTGCTGCCATGAGATCTCTTCTGATAATAGACAACCTGAATAAACAGTACTGAATGAGGGTCCCAGAAATAGAGCAACACAAATTTAGTTACCTGATCTTTGATAAAGGAGCAAAAGAAACCGAATAAATAATTTTCGTTCAAATGATACTGGAACAAGTAGTCAGAGAGAAAAGAAAGAAAGAAAACCTTATAGTTTTAATGAGTTGATTCATAAACCTAAATGTAAAATGAAAAAGTATATAGGAGTGACATTAGCAAAATAGTGCTCTAGGAAACTCCAAGACCTTTTCCCATGTGGACCTTAAAAAAAGAAAAGAAGAAAGGAAGAAAAGGAAAGTGAGCTAAATTACCCTTACAAGTTCTCTCAAAATCAGCACAATCAGTGCTCTGTAGTAAATACTTATATGACCCATCAAGGACAGCATTTAAAGCGCTGGGAAATTTTGTGGTGTTTAAAAATATATGTTAAGGTACAGTCTTAGTCTGGAAGAAACGACATTCTTATAACCAGTTCATTCTCTTGATTTGAATGTAGCAAAACAGAACATATCTGCAACATTCTTACCTGTCTAGGGACTACCAAAAGAATTCGTGTATGTTTTGCTGTACTAAGATCTAAGCAGAAAGAAGCAGTAGATTTTGCTCAGGAAAGCTGCAGGGATATTAAGAGAAACAGATGCTCTGTGGCTGAGGATCTTCCGTAGATTTTCTATGAGAAGCTGCTGCATAATATTTTGGAAATTCAGCCTCTTAAAAGCAGCTGTGTCAGGGCTGGTGCCGTGGTTCACTTGGTTAATCCTCCACCTGCAGCGCCGGCCTTCCATATGGGCACAGGGTTCTAGTCCCGGTTGCTCCTCTTCCAGTCCAGCTCTTTGCTGTGGCCCGGGAGGGCAGTGGAGGATGGCTCAAGTGCTTGGGCTCCTGCCCCCGCATGGAAGACCAGGAGGAAGCACCTGGACCCTGGCTTCGGATTGGCACAGTGCCAGCCGTAGCAGCCATTTGGGGATTGAACCAACAGAAGGAAGACCTTTCTCTCTGTCCCTATCTCACTCATTGTCTGTAGTTCTACCTGTCAAATAAAAAAAAAAGCAGCTGTGCACATGGTATTGTTTATTCTAAAGTTCTAGGCAAGATACATGCTCAGGACAGAATTGAAAGACATATGCTTTTTTCTACAGCTGACCACAGGGCTTAGAACATTCCCAACAAATTATTGAAGGATTTTCTCACTCAGAATTGGGATGGAGAGCATTTTTTTCAAATGTCTAATCTTCAAAGAAAAATATTTGCAAAACACACAAATAAAGCATGCTCCTTGGTAAGTAAGAAAATAACACCATCTCTGAGAAGGGCCCAGACATCAGTCTAACTAGACAAAGATTTTGAAACAACTGTCTCAAATAGGTTCAAGGAGCTGAAGAAAAATGTAATGAAATGGATCTAAATTAAATCTGTAACATTATATATGTACTGAAAATAAAGTAATAGAAATAATAAATAGGAAATAATAAACAGTAGTACTAAAATATAATAACCACATTTAAAAATTCTTTACAAGAGATCAACAGGAAACTTGCTTGAATGGAAAAGAGTCTGTGAAACTGAAGCTAAGACATTTAAAATGATCCTGGGGCTAGCACTGGGGCACAGCAGTTTATGCTGCTGCCTGCAGCACCAGCATCTCATATGGGTGCCGGTTCAAGTCCCAGCTGCTCCACTTTTGATCCAGCTCCCTGATAATGCACTTGGGAAAGCAACAAAGGATGGTCCAAGACTTGGGCCCCTGCATCCAGGTGAGAGACCCGGATGAAGCTCCTGGCTTTGGCCTGGTCCATATGGAGAGTAAACCAGAAGATGGAAGATTTCTCTCTCTCTCTCTCTCTCCTCTCACTCTTGCTCTCACTCTTCCTCTCTTTTTATAACCCTGCCTTTCAAATAAATAAATCTTTAAATAAATGATCATATCTGAGGAGTAGAAAGGAGAAAGAAGGAAGAAAAGTACACAGAGCCAAGCACTTTGGGGACATAATTAAGAAAACCTGTGGATTATGGGAGTTACAGAAAAAGGAGAGACAGAAAAAGACAGAGAGGGGGCGGTGCTGTGGCGTAGTGGGTAAAGCCACCGCCAGTAATGCTAGCATCACATATGGGCACCAGTTCAAGTCCTGACTGCTCCATATCTAGTCCATCTCTTTGCTATTGCCTGGGAAAGCAGAAGATGGTCCAAGTCCTTGGGCCCCTGCACCTGCATGGGATACCCGGAAGAAGCTCCTGGCTCCTGGCGTTGGATCAGCCCAGCTCTGGCTGTTGCAGCCAATTAAGGAGTGAACCAGTGGATGGAAGACCTCTCTCTCTTACTCTCTCTCTCCCTCTGTCTTTCCTTCTCTCTGTGTGTAACTCCGACTTTAAAATAAATAAGTGCATCTTTAAAAAAAAATACCACACGGCCACACACTTTGGTTTCTGGTGCTTGCAAGCTCTACTTCGGCAGGTAGAAAGCATCAAAGAGAGAGAGAGAGAGAGAGAGAGAGAGAGAGAGAGAGAGAGAGGTTATGTGAAGAAATAATGGCTTAAAACCTCCCAAATTTGAGAAAAATCTACAAGTCAGAAGCTCAAGCAGTTCCAAGTAGGATAAACTCAGAGACCTATGGTGAGACATGTTATAATCAAACTATCAAAAATCAGACAAAGAACCCTGAAGCAACTAGACAAAAGCTCAGCACATAAACAGAATGCTAAATACCCACTTCTCAGTATAAAACTTGGGATAGCCTGAAACTAAAATAAGAATTCTGTCAACCAAGAATCCTTATTTTAAAAAATTTTTCTTAAAAATGAGTAAGAAATAATGATGTTCGCAAATAGAGAAGAGTTTAGGATATTCATTAGTATTAGAACATCCTATAGGAATATTAAGGAAATTCTTCAGATTGAAATGAAAGGACATAAGACAGCAACTTGAAACTATATGATGATATAAAGACCTTAGGCAAAAGCTAAATTCATGGGCAAGCTTAAAAGGCAGTATTACTATAATTTTGTTTTGTAATCTCACTTTTTATATTCTACAGAATTTAAAAGACATACATTTTTCAAATCTATGTTAGTAGGTACAAGATATATATAAATTTAACTTGCTGTATCAACAACATAAAGTTAGGTAGAGAAGAGTTATAAGAGAATAGTGGTTTTATATGTGGTTGAAGGTAAGTTGATATCAAAACAAAATAGATTATTATAACTTTAGAATGTTATTTTAAATCCCATGGTAATCACAAAAAAATCTATAAAATTCACTCAGGAGAAGGAAAAATTATCTAAATATGTCACTACAAATAGTCAACTGAACACAAATGCAGTAATGGAGAACATAAGGAATAAAAAAGATGCACAGAAAACAAATAACAAGATGGCAAAAGTAAGATTTTACATTTACTACTGTAAATGTAAATGGATTAAGTTTGCCCAGAAAAGGCATATGTATTAGTAGAATAAATTTTTTTAAAAATGACCCAACCATGGTAGGGTACTTCAAAAACTTCATTTGAAATGGAATTAAAATTGAATTCTATTTTAATGTAAAAAAGTTGAAATCTGTGCATATAAGGGGACTTTACTGAGTTTGCTGAAATGTGTATTCTGAAAAACTCTGCATGGATTTAAAATTTTTTTGCACCAAAATCAACTTTACTTTTAAACCTACTTTTGCATGAAATTTTTTGTGGTTATTATGTGGTTTTATTAAAGATTTTATTTATTTATTTGAAAGGCAGAGTTATAGATAGAGAGAGGGAAAGACAAAGAGAGAGGTCTTCCATCTAATGGTTCACTCCCCAAGTAGCTACAATGGCTTGAACTGAGCCAATCTGAAGCGAGGGGCCAGGAGCCCACGTGGGTGCAGGGGCCCAAGCACTTGGGCCCATCTCCACTGCCTTCTCAGGCGATTAGTAGAGAGCTGGATCAGAAGAATAGCCACAAGGACATGCACTAGCATCCATATACGAGTTACTGAGTTTGGAATGAGTAGCTGAATAGTAACCCACAGTGTATACCTATTACAATTTCTTTATCCAGTCAACAGATGATGGACATCTGGGTTGATTCCATATCTTAACTATTGTGAATTGTGCTGCAATTAACATGGGGGTACAGATAGTTCCTTCATTACTGATTTCTTTTGGTTTGGGTAAATTCCCAGGGGTGGGGTGGCTGGATCATATGGTAGGTCTATATTCAGATTTCTGAAGTATCTCCATAGTGTCTTCCACAGTGACAGCACCAGTTTGCATTCCTACCAACAGTGGATTAGGGTACCTCCCCCCCCACATTCTCAGCAGTTTTTGCTGTTTATAGATTTCTGTATGAAAGCCATTCTAACTGGAATGAGGTGAAACTTCATTGTGTTTTTGATTTGCATTTCCTTGATGGTTAGTGATCCTGAGCAATTTTTCAAGTGTCTGTTGGTCATTTGAATTTACTCCCTTGAAAAATGTCTATTCATGTCCTTTACCTACTTAACTGGATTGTTTGTTTTGTTGTTGATTTTCCTGAGCTCTTAATAGACTCTGAATGTTAGCTCTTTATCAGCTGCATAGTTTGCAAATATTTTCTCCCATTCTGTTGGTTGTCTTTCACTTTGCTGAGTGTTTCTTTTGCAATGCAGAAGCTTCTAAGTTTGGTATAATCCCATTTGTCAATTTTGGCTTTGAATGCCTGTACTTCTTGGGTCTTTTGCCTATGCCAATGTCTTGCAGAGTTTCCCCAATGTTCTCTAGTAATTTGATGGTATCAAGTCATATATTTAGGTCTTTGTTTAGATTTTATTTATTTATTTGAGAGGTAGAGTTAGAAACAGAGAGAAGGAAATGCAGAGAGATCTTCCATCCTGTGGTTCACTCCCCAAATGACCACAACTAGCAGAGCTGGGCTGATCTGAAGCTAGGAGCCAGGAGGTTCTTCTGGGTCTCCCATGCACATACAGGGGTCAAAGTACTTGGTCCATCTTCCACTGTTTTCCCAGGCTATAGCAGATCATAAGAGGAGCAGCTGGGATTTGAACTTATGCCAATGTGGGATGATGGCACTGCACGCTGTGACTTAGCCTACTGTGCCATAGTTGCTGCCCTTTTGTGTTAGGTCTTAGATCTATTTTCAGTGGATTTTTGCTTAGGTATAAGGTAGGGATCTAGTTTCATACTTCTGCATGTGGAGACCCAGTTTTCCCAGCACCATTTGTTGAAGAGACTATCCTTGCTCCAGGGATTAATTTTAGCTCCTTTGTCAAAGATAAGTTGGTTGTAGATGCATGCCTTGATTTCTGGAGTTTCTATTCTGTTCCTTTGTCCACACATTGTTTTTGTACCAATACCATGCTGTTTTTATTAAAACTTCCCTGTAGTATGTCTTGAAATGTGGTATTGTGATTCTTTCAGCTTTGTTTTTGTTGTATAAGATTGTTTTAGCTATTTGGGGTCTCTTGTGTTTCCAAATAAGTTTTAGCATCATTTTCTCCACATATTAAAAGAATGTTGTCAGTATTTTATTGGGATTACAGTGAAAATGTAAATTGCTTTTGGTAGTATAGACATTTTCATGATACTGATTCTTCTAAAGTTCTTTCTCAGCTGTAACATTGTCTTTGTATATGAAGGCTACTGATTTTTGTATTGATTTTATGTCCTGCCATTTTCCTAAACTCTTTTATGGGTTCCAATATTCTCACAGTGGAATCTTTTGGTTCTCCTAAATATAGAATCATGTCATCTACAAGTAGGGATAATTTGACTTTCTCCCTTACAACGTGTTTCCCTTTGATTTCTTCTTGTTGCCTAATGGCTCTTGTGAAAACTTCCAGAACTATATTGAATAGTGTTGGTGAGAGTGGGCATCCTTGTCTGGTTCTAGAATAGGATGCTGGCCATGGGTTTGTCATAAATTTCCTTGATTGTGTTGAGGGATGTTCCTTCTGTACCCAATTTGCTTAATGTTTTCATCATAAAAGGATGTTGTATTTTATCAAAAGCTTTCTCTGCATCAATTTAGATAACCATATGGTTTTTGTTCTTCAATTTGTTAACTGATATATCACATTGAATGATTTGCAGATGTTGAACCCTGCATACTAAGGATAAATTCCACTTGATGTAGGTGAATGATCTTTCTGATGTGTTGTTGGATTTGATTAGTTAGCATTTTGTTGAGGATTAATGGGTTCGTGTTCATCAAGGATATTAGTTTGTAGTTTTCTTTCTCTGTCATATCTTTTTCTGGCTTAGGAATTAAAGTTTTGTAGGCTTCATAGGAGTTTGGGAGGATTCCCTCCCTTTCAGTTGTTTTGAATACCTTGAGAAGAATTGGAATTAGCTCTTCTTTAAATGTCTGGTAGAATTCAGCAATGAAGCCATCCAGTCCTGGGCTTTTCTGTTGAGAGGGACTTTATTACTGATTCAATTTCCATCTTGGTTATTGGTCTGTTTAGGTTTCCTATATCTTCATGACTCATTTTTATTAGATTGTATATGTCAAGGAAACTATCCATTTCTTCTAGGTTTCCCAATTTGTTGGCATATAGCTCTTTTTTTTAATTATTAAATCTTTTTTTTAATTTTTGACAGGCAGAGTGGACAGTGAGAGAGAGAGACAGAGAGAAAGGTCTTCCTTTGCCGTTGGTTCACCCTCCAATGGCCGCCGCGGCCAGCGCGCTGCGGCCGGCGCACCACGCTGATCCGATGGCAGGAGCCAGGTACTTATCCTGGTCTCCCATGGGGTGCAGGGCCCAAGGACTTGGGCCATCCTCCACTGCACTTCCCTGACCACAGCAGAGAGCTGGCCTGGAAGAGGGGCAACCGGGACAGAATCCGGGACTAGAACCCGGTGTGCCGGCGCTGCTAGGCGGAGGATTAGCCTAGTGAGCCACGGTGCTGGCCAGCTCTTCCTTTTTGCCGTTGGTTCACCCTCCAATGGCTGCCCCGGCCGACGTGCTGTGGCCAGCGCAACGCGCTGATCCGAAGCCAGGAGCCAGGTGCTTTTCCTGGTCTCCCATACGGGTGCAGGGCCCAAGGACTTGGGCCATCCTCCACTGCACCCCCGGGCCATAGCAGAGAGCTGGCCTGGAAGAGGGGCAACCGGTGCAGAATCTGGCGCCCTGACTGGGACTAGAACCCGGTGTGCCGGCGCCGCAAGGTGGAGGATTAGCCTATTGAGCCACAGCGCTGGCCGGCATATAGCTCTTTGTAGTAATTCTTGATTCTTTTACTTCTGTGGTATTTATTGTTACATTTCCTTTTTTGTCTCTGATTTGGGTCTTCTCACTCTTTTTTTGTTTTTTGTTAATTCACCCAATGGTATATCAATTTTGTTTTATTTTTTCAAAAAACCAACTCTTAATTTCACTGATTTTTGGTTTCAATTTTATTTCTTCTCTAATTTTAATTATTTTTTCTCCTATTAATATGTTCAGTTTGTTTTTGTTTTTCTAAGTCCTTGAGATGCATTGATAGATCATTTATTTGGTAGCTTTCCAATTTTTTCATGTTTGTACCAATTGCTGTAAACTTCTCTCTTAATACTGCTTTTG